GATTTCATAACTCTCTACTGTTATTTTACATATTGTTGTATTTTTTTTAAAATTGATGACTTGAGATTAAAACAAAGTCTGTAAATTTACATATTGTTGTTATTTTACTGTAATGAGTTAGTTGTGAATGTTATGAGTTGGTTGTGAACTTCCGTAATGAGTTTGTTATTAAAATTAACTCATAACATTAACAACCAACTCATAATCTTAACAACAAACTCATAACATTCTTTCACAACTAACTCATAACCTTAACAACAAACTCATTACGGTAAAATAACAGCAATATTTAAATTTACCAACTCTCCTTTAATCTCAAGTCATCGATTTCAAAAAAAATTACAACAATATATAAAATAACAAAAAAATATAGCACTCAGATTCAACCATTTCCAATTCTTGGATCTTTAGCTTCTTTTTGCAGCTCACATCGGGAGTTGTCGGAGTGCCCGCATTTTTCTCAGGAACAGCGACGCTGAATCCATCGCAACTCACTTCAGATCTGTCAACGTCGTCGAATTGACACTCTGACTTTTGCTTGTCACCAGCGTCTTCAAGATCGCAGCGTTCTTCACCTCATGAACGAATGCTAGGAAAGCTCCATCGCTGATGTGGACGCCGTTTGAAGAATTTGGAGGGAACTAGAATTTTTTTCCCCAAAACTCATTTCTAATCATGCCTACAGTGACATCATGAAAAAAGAAAGAGGGGGTATTATGATCTTCAAATGTTTGAAAAAGTTGGGTTTTATGTTTTGGAGGCTAAAAGATTAGTGGGTTTGATTTTAGGAATTTTGGGAGCTTTGAAAAAGTCTTGGGTGGGGGGATACCTAGAGTTATTTTGGGGGCTAGAAGCAGTTTTCGCTTTTTTAATAGTGAATGTTTCACATGAGTCTCATTGCTAAGCGATAAACTTTGAATATGAAATATTTGACTTATAAACAACCACCTACTCTCAAAGAAGAAAAATCAACGGCACCCGTTAACTTTTCCATATGAGCAGTCTATGGACTTGGAAGGATAGGTAGGATTGAATTTCCTGATACACGTCCATTCACACGATAAATTCCAATATTGAACGGAAATGTTCCTAGAATCTATTGTTTATTATGAATGAATTTTGTGGGATTGTTCGCTTCCAGATACGAATTTGAACTTGTGGATATGCTGCAAAAAATATAAATTTAAAATATAAGACATAAATTGAAATCAAAAAATATTAAAATGAATTGAAATAAATTTATGGTATACAAACTCACAGTTATATAATAATAATACATGAGCATTATTACACTTCACTCTAAATTTAACTAATTAATAAAATATTAAAATAAAATCTTAATGTTGTACCTTCTTAAGTCCGATGTACTATGTGAGGAAATAAAGGATTACAACATAAATAATATAGCTATAATAGATAATGTCAATCTCTCTTCTCCATGAATTTAAAAGAAATAGGCAAAAAATATGGATATAGTATGATAAAAATTTTGGGAAAAAGAAAAAATTCTTCTGCGTGATACAATCTGCAAAAGCTTTAGCTTTTTTCTCGTCCCTATTCCTTCTCACCCCTCCCCCCCCCCCCCTTCCCCTTATTCTTTTAGTCATTCTTCAAGGTTATATGAAAAATTAAATCTGGAAAATTCTAAGATACTGAAAGAATAATTTAATCTATATGTCAGTTGTAAAGGAAATTTATGGTGATAGCTGTTTCAATAAATTTTGCTCAGTTAAACTTAAATCATTCTTGGTATCATAAACACTAAGTACTGAATTTGAATATACATTTCCCGCTCTTCAGTTAAATAAATCTGATAAACCAAACTCACTCGCGATAAATATTAATTTTTATATTGAGGTGAAATCACAACTCATCAAAATAAAATCTGTATAAATGTGGATAGATATAAGTATAATTGAGGTTCAAATCAATTGATCGAGGTGAATATGATTACCCAAAATATTGCGATAAAAAACCTAGCAATGATAAAGCCTTCTCCTATCATGTAACAATGCCAAATGCACCATAAACCTTTAACTTTCTAGGTGGCAATAATTAACAAGGTCCAGTCTTGATTCAGAGAGGTGATAGCATGTAGATACCGAACACTCCCAGCAGATCAAGCCTCTTCGATCTGACCGGCGGAGCACCCTGGACTTGTCCATGCTACTCCTCTTTCTTGAGAATTGGTAGCTCCGCAGGAACAGCTGCCTTTTCTCCATGTAAAGCATATCTTTGTTGTTTAATTAAGATTGAGAATTAAATGCGAAGGGAAGCATATTGCTTGTCGCTTATATATATGGGAATGGTGAAAGGAGAACTGGAGATTTGAAATATATAGGGGAGTTTGAGACTGAAAAGAAAAGATCACTCGCATGCTTTTTTAAGTTTGGTAGAGTAGATGTTCAGTGGTTGTTGAGATGGAGATGTGTGTACGCATGTATGCTGTGCGAATCTTGAGTAGGTGCAGTATATGTCTAATATACATGATTTTTTTTTATTTATATATTTTTAGTAAGTACATATATAAATCAAAATGAATGTACAGTGTGAAAGCAAATCCTCAAAATTCCAACCACAAAGAGACAGTCTCGAATCCACATCCACGAAGTGTTACAAGCAGAGGAATTTCATTTATCCAATAATTCCTCTAGGTACCGTTTGGCAAATGGTTAAGTGAGGGGTTAAGGAGACTAAACCCCTTCTTAACCCGTCAAACACAAAAAATATATACAATGATTAAAGTGAGTTAACCCTCCATAATTTGCCAAACATAAAAAATATAGAAGGGTTAAGCTAACACCTCTGAAGGGATTAAAATGAGTTAACCTCTCAAAACGAGGAGTTTACTGATACTCCTATTTAGAATGATTAAGAGTTAACCCTTCTAATTATAAAGAAAATAGTCAAAATCATTGTTATATTTAGAATGATTAAGAGTTAACCCTTCTAATTATAAAGAAAATAGTCAAAATCATTGTTATTCCCAAACACTAAAACTAACCCTTCTAATTATAAAGAAAATAGTCAAAATCATTGTTATTCCCAAACACTAAAACTAATCACAAGGGCTAAAATAAAACTTATTTAACGGGTTAATAATTTAGTCCTTCAGATTATCGAATGAACTAAGTACATTAATTATTCTCTTTAACCCTTTTTCCTTAACCCTTTGCCAAATGGGACCCTAGAGTTTATCAATAGGACTGCAATTACTAAAAATATGCAGTATCTCTCAATTATGAGAGAACTTTGTACAGCGGCAAATCAAACCATCCACAGGTTCGATTGGATTCTTCTTGAAAAAAAAATACATAATTTTCGAGTATTGTATACCTAATTCCGACCGACAGATTGGAGATATGATCCGTTCTTTCTTAGCAAGTCGAACCTCATTTTCAGGGCTGTCGCTTGGGCTTTTTCGGTCCGACCGCTCCATAAACTCATCTGCAATGACGTTTTACGTCGAAAACTAATCGTCAAGACAAGAGCCACAAAATGTACTCTCGTAAGCACAGGTATAATAACTAAGCAAGTTATGTCCCCAAATTAGCAAAGTCTTTACTGCTTGTATATGTGCATATAGGAACACACATTGTTAGCACATAGAAATAATAATAAAAGTTTCTAACTGAAATGATTTTTAATGAATAGGAAGAGGAGAAGACCGAGAGTAAGCCGCCTCCCCACTTTTATACGCCATCAGTTTTCCCCAGGACTAAGGTTTAATTCGAGGAGAATATTTGTTAGATGGGTTTTGATGGCCGACCTACTTTTCCCTTGACTTTACCATCTAATTGATTTTTTTCCCCCACCTTTCTTTTCTTTTTTTTTTTTGAGAATTATAACTGCCTTAACTATCTTTTATTTCTATAAATTACGTACACATTTCAGCCCTGATGTCTCCCTCAAAACCAACCTCTTTAGTTGGGAAACTATTTCTGTGTCCAAAACTGTGAAATCGATAAAGACACAAGTAAGATGTTCTCTTTTCTAGTCGTTTATGGTTCAAAAGGAGTGATCCTCGTGGTCAGCTTTCATCAATACATTAATTGATTGTTTTTAGATAGCCTTATAAGACTGAAAGCAGCATCAGTAGTTTATAGTTAATTGTTTCCAAATAACCTAATAAGACTAATTAAAAGAAGCATCAGCAGTTTTTACATCAGTAGACGTATATCCCCCGACCCCATTTTCCAGATAACATACAATTTACTCGAACCCGTGACCTCCAGGCCACAAGGCAACTAGCCTTACCATTGTGTCGAGGCTCGCCCTCTAAATCCAAATCCAAAATAATAACCCTTTCGACAAGTTACAATATGTCAAACAAAACAAGCAATGACCTATTCTCATTGCTATCATCATCATGCTTAACTGTTAAACAATAATACATCAGATGCTTCACCTAAACAATAAGTAGAACATACAAAAAGCATTCGAGGGGTTACAACTGATATCATCATCTGAAGCTATTTTCACTTACGAGAGGGTCAACATGGGGAAAGTATAGACAAAACCTCAAGCAATTGTGTCAGCAAACAACTGCACAAGCAACATTTCAGTATCCTTTTGGAGTCTTATTGTAGCATACTTTTTATACAACATTAAATAGTTTAGGTACATCTCCTCCACTATCTCATTCATGATTCTAGAGGGAAAAGGCTGCGTCAAGATTAGTAAATTATATCTTTCAACTCCTTCACAGCTCCTCCTCTTCTTTTTGACGTAGACCTCAACTAATCAGCTTAACTGTTTGAATAAAAAATCTCTATCCAGTCAAATACTTTTGTTCTAAGGTTCATACTTCAATAGGCTTAAAAGCTTTTCTTATAGTTTAATTTGGACACGAATTTCACACTTGAATGGGAATTAATAACAGAAAATTTTCTTTTAGACCCATATTTAATATGAGACAGATCAACTGCACAAATGACTTGGAAAGTTTGTTTTAACGCATAAAATATCTTTTTTTCTTTTTACAAGATGGACAAATGACAAACACTGGAAGGGTTTTCAATTCTACTCTATAAAACCACCATATTTATAGTACAATAAGCATTTTCGTTACTGGAATATTTACTAACTGCAGGATTACGTAACTATAAATAGCTTTGCTGCATTCAGGGCACTAAGCACAACCTCTGCTAAAAAGAGCAAATAGACAAGCTGATCTGATCCTAATGCACTTGATGATAAGAGCATAGCCAAACATATACATATCAAAAATAAGAAAGACTACAGCAAAAAAGATACACAGAGATAATACCATGATTAAAGAAGAAAAGAAACTACCAATATATTGTACTACTTATCCTTGGAACCTGCTAGCCTCTCTTCAAAGACATTACTCTGCTACATTCCTTCATCAGAAAGGAAACAGAGGAAGTCTGATACTGGTTCCATGAAAATTACGAACTTTCGCTTACCGACGTACCAGCATTATAACGCTCTTTATCCCTGTCCTCATAAACCTGGAGTAAATAAAAAGTAAAAAAATTCTTATATCGAGTATACTTTTCTTGTTATTAATATTACTGGCTCGAAAACATAGGCAGAAAATTTAGAAACATATCAACAGGCTTAATGGCTGAACACTAGGGGGTGATTACATTAAAGAAGAGTTACATATTTTATAGCAGTGAATCATATAATCTGTCAATGATAATTAACCAACTATTTAAGAACTGATTTATCAAGCAGGCTACTTTGTGGTTATCACAAAATATAGAAATTGAATAGGTATAAAGAGAATGCTTTCCTTTAATCAACATGAAATCAAACCTCTTGATTTTGCTTGAGCAACTAACAGAAATCATGTTAACATAAATTTTGTGCGCTTGTGTGTCACATCAGTGTGTAAATGGAGTTGCAGCAAGGGATAGAGATTACGAATTTATTGAATTCTTCGAACACAAAAAATTATATAAGTGAATATAAAATAATTCAATTGTCAAGCGCTACCTCTTTTTCAGATTCGGTAAGATTATTCCAAAGAGAATTTATGTACTTGACCATAAGCTTTTCCTTCCCAGAATACAAAGGCCTTAGTTTGGAATAATGCTCAGCGAAGAAAATATTGTAGCCTCCCACATTTGAATCAAGACCAGAGGGATCAGTTTCTCTTCTGGACCTTTTTCGGCCACAATTATTAGAAAGAAGAGGAGAATTATATCGTCCATCAGATTGGAAAGGAACATGATAAAGAATACCATTCAATATATTGGAACCGAAATTTGCTGTTATTATATATCCATTCTCAAACTTCCCGTTAATTTTTCCCTTCACCAAGCTGCCTACTCCGAGGGGAGGATGTTCTGTAGGAAAACAAAAGACGACAAATAATAATCAGACAAGTATAACGCCGGAATGCATCTCCCTAAAAGGATGGTATGCACAGTATATAAATACGATTAGCATTTTAAATTTATAGACAGAGTAAGATTTTTGTTCAGAAATTTTATTCCTTAGTTATCTTTAATTGAATGGCCCAACAAATTATACTTAACAAATAATTCACAATCCTTGGGAATCAACAAATTTCAGAAATTGATGAGCACAATTAATTTAAAAAAAAAGGATATTTTACTAGTATGTTCATGGTAGATTATTGAATAATCATTTTAAACAGCGATGTTGCTTGATAACCGAGGTACAAAAAGCTATAACCTTAATCGTGTGCTTGTAACTTTGTGTGTTCTAAATCAAGTAATTTTTAAATCTTTTACCAAGAGTTTTAGTAAAATTCAAATTAATGTTTTCAAATTATGGTGAAATAGTTGAATTAATTTCCAAAAATATGCAAAGTTCGCAGATGATTGCCAAAACTTTTTGGACTGATATAAATTCACCACGCTTACAAAATCCTCCAAAGACCAATGTAATGTGAGAAAATTTCCATGAAGGAAATGTCAATTTGAAAGGCCAGGGAACTGGTTTTTGATAACGCATGTAATCACTATAACTTCTTTACAACGATAAAGAATAAGTTTATTAAGGTGATACACATGACGTCATAATAATTTTGCAAGTAATTCTAAGAAGGAAACCGCTAAGCTCCCCAATCTGGGACAATATATAGAAAGAACAAAATCTTCTTCAGTAGAAAGCAAGTTTCCATTATGTCTGTTTTGGATTTGGATCCTCTACATATTAGAGAGTATCCGATTCTTTCAATCATCATCATCAATCACAATTTCAAAGAGTAAAATAACGCCATGTAGGATTTTCACAATCAAACTAGTGGTTTTCCCAATAACATGGCAGATTTGGTTAATATAGTTTTATTTATAAATATCAAGTTTTTAAAAAAAATTAATTTAAACTCCAAAATAATTATGTTCTAATCCCTCTAGGGTTTTAGCTACACTTGAGCAGAACGATGAACACATTATTTTACTTTCATTGATCAGTTGCAATACATTGTTTTTATTGATTTATTTTTTTAGCACATTAATTAATTACACATGGTTACAAATTGTTGACATATTAGTATTAGTTAGGGACTTATTTGTAAGTTGTGTAGGTGCCTATATAAAACCCAAGAGATCTCATAATGAATTAGGGTTTCAATTCGACTTGGTATCAGAGCTAAACCCTAGCCGTCAAAACCCCACCCCCCCCCCCCCCTTTTCTCCCCACCTGACCGACCCGAACAACCCCTGATCTCCCCACCTGACCGAGACCAACCCGAACCCCCTTTGACCCCCCCTGACCCCGACCTCCTCCAAACCACCATCTAGCCGCTGCCACCTCGAGCCCCTTGCTGCGCTATGTCGGACCTCGAGTTTGGCATGGGTTCCCTCGACTCAGTCCTCGAACTGATGACAGGAAGAGTATATATCTCATAGCGATGAGATATATCACTGTTTTTTTTATTCTAGTTTCCTCTGAGAAACGAGAATTTGTTGGAGATCTTACTCTTGTTGTGCAGCAGAAGTGCTGCCGAAATTTTCACTGCGCACAACAAGGGTTTGAAGAGAAAGGTGAACAGGTGTTGGCTCTGAAGCTTGATCGATGGAGGAGATCATCAAGAAGTTGAACCCTGCGGATGTGTCAACTTTGATGAAGTTGATGAAGTTGTCGGCTGATGAAAGCGCGACAAGACCATCGAAGAAGTTGGAGCTTCCGACCATCGATCTGAAGCTTGATGGACCGAGTACCTACCTGAGTTGGTCACGACGGGTGAGATACACCATTGCAGGGAGGAACCTGGAGGGTTACTTGACCGGAGAGAAAACAGAACCGGATGAGGACTCGGGAGGACTAGATGAGTGGAAGTCCACTCATATGTTGGTGTACATCTGGCTTCTCAACTCGTTGGTCCCGACGATCGCCGCCACGGTGGATGGCATTGAGAAGGTGAAGGACGTCTGGGAGAAATTGAGGAGAACATATGATGGGGTGGGGAATAATCTGAGGGTGTTCCAGATTAAAGGAGAGATCGACGCCACAGTCCAGGGAGAGAGGACTGTACAGGAATATGCTACAGAGCTGGAGCGTCTGTGGCTGGATTATGATCATTTTTCCCCTCGGGCTAGCTGCAAGGACCCGGGGTGTAAAGAACGGGAGGCCTTTCTACAGGAGAGGACTATGGTGTTTCTCAAGGGATTGACATCAGAGTTCGCTCAGCGAATTGCCTATGATCATTTTTTCCCCCGGGCTAGCTGCAAGGACCCGGGATGTAAAGAGCGGGAGGCCTTTCTACAGGAGAGGACTATGGTGTTTCTTAAGGGATTGACATCAGAGTTCGCTCAGCGAATTGCATTACTGCTAGCTCAGCCGAAAATTCCCACGCTTGAGGAGACTGTCTCTGCTATGATCCAGGAGACTCGCATTCGGCTGCAGGCGGGGACAGGTGGACTTCCGGTGGTGAAGTCAGCACTGGCAGCCTGGAGCAGAGAACCGGGCGAATCTGATGGTAGCAGCAGAAGAAGAAGCTGATGTGGTCTTTACTGAGGAGGATCGTGCTCTCCTGGCGATACTCAGGAGGAAGCAGCAAGTAGCAGGGGATGGAGACTTGAGGAGTGGGACTGAGGAGGCATCCACTTCGTTCTTCGCCAGAGGCAATACTGCTACCTATGCTCATCCGACCAAAGGTACTGATGACATACATGCTCTTGCTTCTATGTCTCCCAACAGATCATCAGAATGGATAGTCGACTCCGGTGCGTCTCGGCATGTGATAGGCAATGCTAGTGAGTTCTCATCATATACTCACTTAGCATCACCTGATAGTATTCAAACAGCTGATGGTACAATTTTTCAGGAGAAGGGGACAGGACGGAGACTTGGGACTGGCACATGGCGTAGTGGACTGTGGTATCTTGATCGTGAAGGGCTGGATTCAGCATTGGTGTCAGTAGTAGAGGAAGCAGGAGTAGGATCTAATATGAGTATTGAGAATGAGTTAATGCTTCATCACCAGTGTTTGGGACACTCATCATTTGGTGTTTTAGGTAGATTGTATCCTTCTTTATTTGAGAAAGCAAATAAACAGAAACTTATGTGTGATGCATGTGAGTTTGGAAAGCTTACTAGAAGATCTTATGTTAGTTCAGGTCATAGAAGTTCTCGTGTATTTGACTTGGTACATTTAGATGTTTGGGGGCCTTGTTCCACAAGTTCTATGAATGGATACAAGTATTTTGTTACATTTATTGATTGTTTCTCTCGTGCGATTTGGTTATACTTGATGAAGAATAAGAGTGAAGTGTTTGGGTGCTTCCAAAACTTTCATAGGAATGTTCAGACTCAATACGGAGCAGTGGTGAAGATATTGAGGTCGGATAATGAGACAGAGTATACCAACAGAGCGTTTGAAGAATATTTGTCAGCTCGGGGAATACATCACCAGACGACCTGTTCATACACACCAGCTCAGAATAGGGTAGCAGAAAGGAAGAGCAGACATCTTTTAGAAGTTGCTAGAAGCATGATAATCTCTATGAATGTCCCAAAAATATTGTAGGGGCAAACAATGTTGACCGCAGTAGCGCTGATCAACAGAATACCCTCGAGAGTGCTGGATTGAAAGTCTCCGTGTGAGACATTGAAGGAAGATAATGGTGGGATTCTTCCACTTAAAGTGTTTGGCTATGTGTGCTTTGTGAAGGACAACAGGCCATCTGTCGGGAAACTTGCCCCTAGAGCTGTGAAGTGCATCTTTATGGGATATTCTGCTACTCAGAAGGGATATGTTTGCTGGAGCCCGGTGGAGAAAAAGTTGTTTGTGAGCATGGACGTGCACTTCCGAGAACTCGAGCCATATTACACCCGAAAGGTAACTTCATCCGTTGGTAACTCGCCTAATACTGGAAGTATGAGACGAGAGGAGGAGAATGATGAGAGATCAGGAAAATCAATTTCTGTAACGATTCCTTGGGAAGGAGACTTGGTTGAGGAGCAAGAGAATGAAGAAGAAGAGGAGAATGAGACAAGAGGTGTTAGACCAACGGCTCAGGGGGAACTACTTACCTATAGTAGGAAGGGGAAACAAATTGCGGGAACAGTACCTACAGTGCCACTGGTGCCAAGTCCCTTGCCAACGCCTGCCCCGACTCCTGAGACATCACTCCTCCCACACCAATGTCTGTACGGAGGACTACTCGCAGTAATACGGGAAATCCTCCCGATAGATATGGTTGGGATCTTGCTCAGTTTGTATCATATTCTAACATCCACCCTGCACATGGAGCATTCATTGCATCACTGGACTCTGTTACTATACCTAACAATTGGCAGGTTACAAAGAAGGACCAGAAATGGAAAGCTGCTATGCACGAAGAGCTAAGGACCCTTAAGAAGAACCGCACTTGGGAGTTAGTAAAACTACCAAAAGGGAAGAGAGCAGTTAGATGCAAGTTGGTCTTCACTGTGAAGCAGAATCCAGATGGACAGGTTGAGCGCTACAAAGCTCGTCTGGTGGCAAAAGGATATAGTCAGACATATGACATCGACTACGATGAGACTTTTGCACCGGTGGCAAAGATGAGCACTGTTCGGACCTTAATCTCTCTGGCACCGGTGGCAAAGATGAGCACTGTTCGGACCTTAATCTCTCTGACAGTAAATGATGGATGGAAGCTACCCCAACTAGATGTGAAAAACGTATTTTTTCATGGAGATCTAGTGGAGGAGGTATACATGGAGATACCACCAGGATTCAGTACAGATCAGACAGTGGGAAAGATCTACAGATTAAAGAAGTCTCTCTATGGGCTAAAGCAGTCTCATCGTGCTTGGTTTGATAGATTCAGGAGGGTTATGATTGGTATGGGGTACCAGCAGATCAGCGCCGACCATACCGTGTTCTTTCGAAGAAGTGGAGGTTACATCACCTTGCTTGCAGTATATGTGGATGATATGATTATTACAGGGGATGATGAGAAGGAGATTGCCCAACTCAAAGTGAGACTGAATAAGGAATTCGAGGTGAAAGATCTTGGCTTGCTTCGATACTTTCTTGGAATAGAGATAGCTCGAGGAGCGGAGGGGATCGTCCTATCCTAGAGAAAGTATGTACTGGATCTTCTCAAAAAAACAGGAATGTTAGGATGCAAATCTGCAACTATACCGATCGACCAGAAGTTTAAGCTAGGTGCTGAAGCTGGAGAACCAGTTGATCGTGACAGATACCAAAGACTGGTGGGCAGGTTGATCTATCTGTGTCACACACGTCCCGATATCTCTTTTACAGTGAGCGTGGTGAGTCGCTACATGCATGATCCAAGGAAGGGTCATATGGACGCAGTGTACCAGATTCTAAGGTATTTGAAGAATGCCCCCGGAAAAGGGCTAATCTTCAGGAAGAATGAACACATGAGCATTGAGGGCTATTGTGACTCTGATTGGGCTAGCTGTGCTGATGACAGGAGGTCCACCTCAGGATACTGCATCTTTATAGGAGGCAACTTAGTCTCGTGAAAGAGCAAGAAGCAGTCGGTGGTGACGAGATCGACAGCTGAGGCAGAGTATAGAGCTATGGCCTTAGGAGTTGCTGAGTTGCTATGGTTGAAGAGTATGCTGGTGGAGCTGAAGCTGGATCAAGGAGCTAAGATGAAGTTGTGGTGTGACAACAAGTCAGCCATCAGTATCACCAACAACCCAGTGCAGCATGATAGAACCAAACACATCGAGATCGATAGGTTCTTCATTAAAGAGAAGTTGGATAGTGGACTACTGGAGCTAAGTCATGTTTTGACTAAGGACCAGGCAGCAGATTGTCTGACTAAAGGACTTAGCTCAGTAGATATGATTTGAGGATGTGATAAGATGGGCTTAGTAGATATCTTTCGCCCATCTTGAGGAGAAGTGTTGACATATTAGTATTAGCTAGGGACTTATTTGTAAGTTGTGTAGGGGCCTATATAAAGCCCAAGAGATCTCATAATGAATTAGGGTTTCAATTCGACTCAAATTAAATCTGAAATATTGAAAAGTTTAATTGTTATTTTTAATTAGTTTTTTAGAAATATTTGTTTTTATCATAAATAAAATTATAGTGGTATTTGGAAAACCACCAGCTTGATTATGAAAATCTTACGTGGCGCTATGTTATCATTTAGAATTAAGATTGATGGTTGATGATTGAAAGAAGGGGATACTGTCCAATTACCATCTAATTACGAATCTGCCTAGGATACTATATAAGTAATAGTTGAATATGGCACTAGGATTTCATCTCTCAGTCTTTTTGCTTCAGAAGCGGATCTTCCTGAAAATGTCAGGCTCGCTTTATTTAATTATAGATTGGGTATTCCGCATATAAGGAAAACAGTTATATCACGACATAATTGATAGTAATAATTGGAAATGAAATAATCAGTGACTATAACTCGAATAAGGACTATCGAGACATGACAATAGCCTGCTCATTACCATTATTTCAAAAATAACGCTAAAGTGCGCTAGCACTTGACAATCTTTACTGATAAGAAAAAAACATAGTCACATCACATATTACATAATACCTTTCTCAGATGTGCTAGGTGAACTATGTACCAGATCCCTTGTAAGTGATGTATAAAAAAGGTGATATTAGCAAACTGCTAACCATAGCATCTTGAGGAGCTGCACAGTAGTAATTTTCTTCCATCAAAGAATAATAGCGTGATGGCTATGACAATGACCCTCCAAGTATGACTATGCATAAAATAGATCGCTTGCATGTTCAGTCAAAATTTTATTGTGTATATATACCCTTCTTAAACTTGTATAGCTTAAGGAATACTTGCCATTTCAGTTTGAAGATGCTGTCAATTTGGATTAGCATATATAATGTCTGAGAACAGCCAAAGAACGCCCAATTTGTGGAAAATGGTACTGGTAACCCAAGATTTAGTTCATTAATAGTAATTGCATTTTGTGATGGTATCATGGTATTATGCCAGCTAAGAATATTGAAAATGTCCAAAGAGGCCAATGAATTTTAAAGATATATATCCAAGCTATATGCTAGCATAGATGCAGAATAAAGGGGAAGTACAAAAAATGGGGACAAATAAAAGGTATAAGGGACCCCTGGTGACAAAACCATCTACCAAAAAGGAAGGGAATTGAAAAACTAATATAAAAAACATCAAAGTACTGAATAGAAAAGAGTGGTAAATCATACCATTTAAAGAAAGCTTGGAGTCTCTCTTACGGAAGAAGTAGACTTGCTCATATGTTTGAAGCAAGGAAAGATAGTACTTGCGCAATAGAAAAGATGCATTTGTAATTGTTGATGGAAAACTGAAGGCAGAAGTCACTTCCTTCCATTTGCGATCTCCTATAACCTTTCAATGGAGAGAGAACCAATATGCATCAATAAGAAAAAACATTTCAGTTACAACCCATCATCAGAGTATCCACAATACTATATGTTAACACATACATATTCGCAACGAAACAAAATTAAGAGATTTAATAGCAAACCTAACCTTGCATCTAAAATTTTAGCCAAAAAACAGTGCCCCGCGAGTACTGAGTATGGTACTTTTGTCTAAATATTTAATGTGAATAAAATAGTTATAACCTACCTTTTGGAGACCACCGCGACAAGTGACTTCAACAAATAAACGGTGTAGGTCGAGAGGCTTCCCTCCAGTTGTAGGAACTCTATAGTCAAAAGTTTTTGAAACAAATAAATACATTACAATGTAAAAAAAGATGGCTAAATATAAAGTCCTCATATGATAATTGAGTTGCTCAAAATTTATTTTCACAGAAAAGAATTATAATTATTATTGGATAGTATGGTAAATGGGAGAATCATTAGCCACCTGACATTAGAGTCATAAACAAACAAATTCATTAAGACTCAAGAGTCTTATCATAGGTTGCACCTGTTCTTCATACTCTGCTTTAATCTTTCCTTAGTTTGAGAGTTTTTTCTCTATGAACAACATCAGACCACGAGAAATCCAATGCTTTATTTATGCAAATATGTGCAAATACAATTATTTATTGTGATCCTAAAGAAAAGAACTATTGTTGAAAACTTTATGATGGGTTTTTTTAATTCCTCCAAGATTTTTTTTAAAGCAACTAAAGAGGTTTGGAAAATTGGTAAGCTAGGAGTCCCAGCATAAAAGTTGTTAGAAGAGAAAATTTAGAGAGTCTACCTTTTTCATCCATCCACATAGGTTTATATAGGAGTACATATGGGTAATAAGCTAATGGGTTAATAGGCCCTAACCCGATAAACTAAATATTAATTCTAACACCCCCCTCAAGCTGGAGCATATATATCAACCATGTCCAGCTTGTTACATAGAATGGAAAACACCTTAGGTGATGTAGCTTTAGTGAGAATGTCAGCTAACTGTTCTGAAGACGGAGTAAACTGAAGAGAGATCACTTTTTTTTCCTAACATCTCTAAAAAAATTACAATCAACTTCAATGTGCTTAGTTCTCTCATGAAATACTGGATTCTTTGCAATATAGATAGCGGACTGGTTATCACAATGCATTGGCATAAGTTCAGGCTGAGTAAAACCAAGCTCTGTCAACAGCTTCTGCAACCATATCATCTCATATGCAATGTGAGCCATAGCTTTGTATTCTGTCTCTGCACTAGATCAAGAAACAACATGTTGTTTCTTGCTCCTCCAAGTAACCAGATTTTCTCTAATAAAGGTGTAAAATCCAAAAGTAGACTTTCTATCTCCTATGTCTCCAGCATACCCAGCATCAGAAAATACAGAGATGTGTAAATATCCATGTTTCTTATACAATAATCCTTTCCCAGGACAACTTTTAACATAAGCTTAAATCCTCAGAGCAGCAGTCCAGTGAACCTCTCTAGGTTTATGCATAAATCTACTCAGTACTCCCACTGCAAAGGTAATATCAAGCCTGGTCCCAGTAAGATAGATTAACTTGTCAATCATTCTCCTATATTGACCTGCATCATCTAGGAGAGGACTATTATCACGCCACGGATCCATATTCACCTCCATTGGAATGCTTGCTGGCTTACACCCTAAAAGGCTCATTTCTTCTAACAAGTCCAATACGTATTTCCTTTGAGATAGAAGCAAACGGTCCTTTTGATATGCAATCTCAATCCCAAGAAAGTATTTGGGTTTTCTCATATCTTTAGTCACAAAGTGATGTGAAAGGTACTCCTTAGTCTCTGCTAAGGCAACAATATCACTCCCAGTTAGCAGTATGTCATCAACATATACTGCCAGAATCACCAAACCAGATTTAATACGTCGGATGAAGACTGGGTGATCAGACTGACATCTTTTAAAACCGACACCAGAAATAGCAGTACTGAATTTCTCAAACCATACCTGTGGATTCTGTTTGAGACCATAAATCGTCTTTTTAAGCCTACAGACATTATTCTCCCCCTGAGCAACATATACCCCGGAGGTTGCTCCATATAGACTTTCTCCCGCAAATCATCATACATGAAGGTATTTTTAACATCCAGCTGAAACATGGTCCAATCCAGATTAACAGCCATAGAGAAAAGTAGGCGAATAGAATTGAGACGGGGAATGAGAGAGAACGTCTCAAGATAATCAACCCCATAGGTTTGAGTATAACCCTAGCAACAAGACAAGCTTTATAGTGATCAACCGAACCATCTGTGCGATACGTCAAGGTATAAACCTACCGACAGCCAACCATCGTAGCACCCGTAGGAAAAGGTACAAGATCCCAAGTCCTTCTAGAAACAAGTGCATCCATCTTCTCATCCATGGTCTGTTTCCAAGCAGGAACTAACAGGCCTCCTCATATGATCTGGGTAGAGATATAGAGGACAAGGACAACAAACTGACGAGAAGAGAAAGTAAAACAGTCATAGGAAACAAAATCAGATATAGGATGATTAGTATAAGACCGTTTACCTTTCCGATGAGAAGTTAGAATATCTAGATCAGAAGGATTAGGAGGCAGACTTGCAACAGGAGATGACTGTTTGGCTGGAGCAGAGAGGGACAGAAACTTTGGACGGCGATAATACGTCAGTAGTGGCGGTGGTGCAGGTGGCACAGTAGAGGCATCCTGTAATCCTAAAGAAGATCCATTAGCAGAAGGAATAGAAGCAGGCAATGGAACAGTAGTAGGAGCACTAGACGAAAGAGGCACAGATGGATTGACAGTTGAAGATGAACCAGCCGAAGAGAAGTATAGAACTGACTTAAAAAAGATAACATCTGCAGATACAAAATACCTCCTGGTGGATGGATTATAACACCGATAACCTTTTTGAGTGTGCGAGTATCCTACAAAGACACACTTAATAGATTGGGGAGACAATTTATCCAGTCCTGGAGACAAATCCTGAACAAAACAGGTACATCCAAAAACACGAGGAACCACAGGAAATGTCTGTTTATCAGGATAAAGACAGGTGAACGGTACTTTACCATTAAGAACAGAAGAGGACATCCTATTTATCAGGAAACATGCATTGAGAACAACATCAGACCACAAATACTTTGGAACATTTATATGTATCATCAAGATTCTAGCAACATCTAAAATGTGTCTATGCTTCCTCTCAGCAACTCCTTTTTGTTGTGAAGTGTGAGAGCATGAAGTTTGATGGAGAATACCTATATTTGCACAAAAATGAGAGAGATCATTTTTCATGTATTCCAATGCATTATCGGTACGAAAGATACGAATAGAGGTGAAATTTTGATTTTTGATTTCATTATAAAATATTTTGAAAACAGATGAAACCTCAGATCTCTCTTTTAAAAGATAAAGCCAAGTCATGCGAGAGAAGTCATCAACAAAGATAATAAAATATCTATAACCTCTCACGGAAAGTATACGACAAGGACCCCAAACGTCAGAATGGACTAACTCAAACGCAGAACTGCTACGTTTATCAACACGATTCTGATAGGTAGCACGATGGTGCTTACCCAGTTCACAAGACTCACAACCTAAAGAAGAGACAAAAGACTTGATAGAAATGACTGACCGAAGTTTCAATAACGATGGATGACTAAGGCGTTGATGTCATAGTAAAGAATGATGAGACCTTTCTACAACAAGACTAGTAGTGGGTGTATTGTCATCCAAATAGTACATGCCTCTTCTCTCATGCCCTGAACCAATCTTCATCCCAGTTGTTAGGTCTTAAAAAACACAATGAGAAGGAAAAAATGTTACTTTACAATTGTGTTTTGTGAACTGACTAATGGACAGTAAACTAACAAGAAACTTGGGAAGATATAAAACATCAGTAAGAATCAGCGATGAAGTAGTATGGACTACTCCATCACCAATAACTGGAGAGTATGTCCCATCAGCGATCCGAACCGATGGAAACTTGTCAGAAAGGTTTAAGGAAACAAAGTGATCATTTATAGCTGTCATATGGGAAGAGACACCAGAATCTAATATTCATGATCAGTGAGGAGAGGCAATGTAGGCATCCATACCTGAAGAGGATGTATAAGTAGCAAAATAACTGTCCCGAGAGAGATCGAGTTGACATAACCGGTCAAACTCAACCTGGGAAATTTGAACTGTAGAGGAAGAGGAAGTAGTAGTAGTGGGAGAAACAGCAGAGGTAGTATCAGCTATCTGGGCCCATGCAGAACGATCAAACTTTTCCCAACACTTCTCAGATATATGGTTAGTTCTTCCACAATGGTGGCATTGACGCAGGTTCCTATCTCAATTTGTCTTCCACCAAAAGAGCCTCGTCCTCCCCTATGTCGCGGCCACGTCCACAATCTCGACCTCTGTCACGTCTGGAGAACATAGTAGACTAGTCAATAGGCGGAATAAAAGAAGTAGACAGTGAGGCAGCAGTATCTTCAATAGTTAACTGCATAACTCTTGAGAAAGTAACAGTCAAAGAAGAAATAGTATCTCCTCCTAATATATGACCCTACACTTGAGATTGTAAAGTGGGACTCAGACCTGATAAGAACTTGGACACTACAAGGTCCCTATGATATCCCATCAGTGTTGGTGCATCCGTAACCGCAGGCTGATGCATCTCTAACTCATCGATCAGACTTTTCAGCTCACTAAAGTACTCAGGTACAGAACGATCACCTTGTTAAAGAGAGAAAAGGCGTTTATACAACTCAAACACACGGGATGTATTTTTCTCATTCCCGTACATAATTTTTAAATTATCCCACATCTCCTTAACAGTGTTTGAGAACATGACACTGCTACTGATCTGGACTTTCATGCTGTTAATGAGCCAAGTCATCACACTGTAGTAGATCCATGCAGGATACGTAGGATCTGTAGATGCAGGAGGTAGGGCCAGAAGATGAGCCAATTTTGTTCCGAGCACCAATGAAGATACGGAAGACTTGTGCCCAAAGTAGATAGTCGGTACCATTTAACTTCACCGTGGTCCCCAATACAACTTTGGGGGCAGAGATCTCAACAATAGTAGGGATAGTAGTAACAACAGCAGAAGAAATGTCAGATCCTGTCATTGTTACAGAACAAGATAGTACAGAAGCAGGAGGATCACAATCTCCTTGTATAAAACCTGAAGGTTTAAAACAGAAACCCGAAGGTTAGAATAGAACCCGAATGTTAGAACCCGGGTTAGAACCCGAAGGTTAGAATAGAAAACCCGAATGTTAGTGTGTAGGAACCCGAAGGGTTAGAATTCATAAACCCGAAGGTTAGAGATCTCATCCAAGAGATATTTTTTAATATATATGTATATATATATTAATAAATATATATATATATATATATATATATATATATATATATATTATATATTAAATCTGCTAGCTCTTACACCCCCATCAAGGTAAATGAACAAACACTTCTCTCCTTATAAAGGGCCAGTAACCAGGTCACTAACAAAAAAAGGGGCCCAACTCAAACAGAAAAGAAAAAAATACAAACAGCGATTTAAGCACCCCGTCACACATGCGTCAATAATTCGCCCCTGACCTCTTACCTCCGCTCCGCCCGTAAAAAAATAATAATAAAAATAAGTCGCAGGACGACAGCTGATGACCAGGCGGTGGCTGAGGATGGCCGACTGTAAGTGATCATCAGAGGTGGACGACAGCGACGATGTATTGAGCGACAGGTGGGCCGGCGGCGAGTGAAGAGGCTTAATCTGTGGTTCTGCTGGCCCTGATGGCCTGAGATCTGGACTCTGGATTCGCGGCTTTACGGTCTGGGCTTTCAAGTTGCGGGCTGGCGGCGGCTTCATGTCGGAGGTTAGGTGCCAGCTTCGTGGGCTTCGTGACTGCGAGGCTTCGTCGGGGGCGTAGGTGAATTTTTTTTGGAGAGAAAACTAGGGTTAGGGTTTCTGCTCTGATACCATGTTAGAAGAGAAAATTTAGAGAGTCTACCATTTTCATCCATCCACATGGGTTTATATAGGAGTACATATGGATAATAGGCTAATGGGTTAATGGGCCCTAACCCGATAACCTAAATACTAATTCTAACAAAAGTGAATGCTTCTTTTTTTTAATTAGTTTTGGATCTAAATTTTGAGACAAATTAACTCCAACTATGCCATTGCATTTGCACATATTTTGTTTACCCTGGTAGACTAGTGCAATTTTGTTAACCACTTGAACCCAATCATTCAAAACGGAATGAGTTTTTCTTTGTGATGTAGCACAATATCACTGGAGACAGTAATAACGTACTTATTAGCTTCGCACTTAAATAGAAGATGAGATTTATTGTGGCTAAAAGTTATGATGCTCCACTTTCACAGGCCATCTTTAAACAATGTCACAATCAGCCTACTGAGAGCTAGGGAAAACAGAATCACCCAAAAATAAAAAAGGAAAGCCAGTAACTGAACAGTCACTAAGCCGGAATCAGCAGGAGCATGTGCCAAAGAGCTACCAACTTGTGGGCGCATGAGAAAATGGGTGGTGTTGAGAATAATCACCTCAATTGTTATATTGGTTCCTTTTGTGCTCAGTGAAGGTAAGAAGATCATGTAGGTGCACTAATTAAAAGTAAGAAGCAAAAAAATGTAATAAGTGAATAAGAAGTTGTTAATAGATGCAAAAATACAAATTGAAGTTCAAAAGGAAAAACAGTGAAGCACAAGGGATTGAGGGGATAATATTACACAATGTGTAAATCGAAAAGCTTGATCACAATTTTAACTTACTGTGAGAAAGTATAAGATGAGAACAAGCTAAAATTATTACATGGAACTTTCCCTAGAAATTGCGTCATCCCCCTGAGATATTCTACTTGAGAATTTAAAAAGCCAAAGTACGAACAAATCAATCTCAGATAAATACATGCATCCGGATCTTATTTAAATTAGAAATGTTGTTAAGAAGATCATGTAGGTGCACTAATTAAAAGTAAGAAGCAAAAAAATGTAATAAGTGAATAAGAAGTTGTTAATAGATGCAAAAATACAAATTGAAGTTCAAAAGGAAAAACAGTGAAGCACAAGGGATTGAGGGGATAATATTACACAATGTGTAAATCGAAAAGCTTGCTCACAATTTTAACTTACTGTGAGAAAGTATAAGATGAGAACAAGCTAAAATTATTACATGGAACTTTCCCTAGAAATTGCGTCATCCCCCTGAGATATTCTACTTGAGAATTTAAAAAGCCAAAGTACGAACAAATCAATCTCAGATAAATACATGCATCTGGATCTTATTTAAATTAGAAATGTTGTTTACTAGATCATCAAACTATAGTCGGTGAGAATACTTTGAAGTTGATAAATTCAACTATGAATCGATCAGCTAAATGCTAATAATATGCATCAGGTCAGGTGAACTGACTTTACTGAAGCAAATAGTATTTTTTAAGGAATGCAATCATTTTGACGAAAACATTGTTGATGATCACTCCCTAGAAATTCTCGTAAAACCTCCACTCACTGTTACCATCTAGCTTTCTCTCTATATAAGAAAGGACTTCAACATGCCTTTCTTCAAACTTCCACAATTTCAGTTTTCTCACAACTACCAATGCACACACTCTCATTCTTCCTCTTAAATTGTCCATCTCCCAACCCCCATCATTTCCTCAAATGGAAAAAATAAAAATGAAATGTAAACTAATTTCCCAACTTGCTTTATCTTTTCAGTCCTCTTTCTTCCTCTCTATCTCCTCTCTATTTTGGATGCAATCAGACGACTCCATGAAAACAATAGCAAACAACCTCTCCCTCTTTCATGATGTCAATGCCAGTGATGACAATAAAAATTTGTATACACAATCCATACATAAACAATGAATATCGTCGCCACTACTTGTCATCAATATTGAAACAAATACTTTGTTGAATCCGTCCTACATCAACCATGATGATATCATTGGAGGCATCATCTTCATCATCATTTCCATCATCAAAAGCACAGTAGCCATCTAAGCGTCCATCAGAATCCCAACGATAGAATAAGTATGAAGGTTAATGAAACTTCATAATCAACGAAGTTTTCATGGCAACCTTCCAGTCTAACAGCAACAAATATGATGCCAAACTACTTGCCAAATAAATGCTAAGTGATGACCTTACCATAACACCTTCATAGGAACTTTGGCCGTTCGCTTGTGAAAGATATTTGATTTAAACTCATGTAACCAATGAGGAAAGAATAATATATAAGGACATATAAGAGTGGGTATAAATTTTAAGTTGTATACCTGAAGTGTATTAAGACAAAATAATTACTGAATCAGCCATTAAGGATTTATAGCATCTATCACATCGATTGCAAAAATATACATCGCTTTTTCATAATTTATTCCTAAATTGGCCCTTTATGACACTTCATCTGTAATCCAATACATGCTTTGACAAAGTAGAAAATATGTGATTTCCCGCCTCCATATCTCCAAGATTTCTGTTCAACGGTTAGCACACACTTGGAAAGAGCATGCCATGTGGAGTAACTTGTTAAACCTTTTGCATCTCTAGACAAAAGCTTGTGACAGTAGTACAAACTTATTTGAACTTCAAGGCTTTGTTTTGTCTGATAGAAAGAAACATGGAGAGACAAAAAAAGGTGCAAAGAATTAAGGAAAAGAAAGTGTACTGTTTATTCTCCTTCTCTAGGAAACAGACGCCTAGTCAGCTTACTTATTTCGTGGTTCCTCCTATTTTGGCACTCTCCAAATATTAAACCTACAATCAGTCTTGTCATAATTAAGCACACAAGTTGCATTCAACTACTTGGCATAATTTTCCTCTCCTTCTATTCACTAAGTTCAAGTAGGGAAGTTAAGCAAGTAGAAAGGAACATGCAATGCAAGTTCTGTCTAATTCTGAGTGTCAGAGATCGCAACCGTGATCCCTCCTCTCAAGGCTATTTAGACGGGAAAAGATCAAAGTAGTTAGCAAAGATTAGCTAGCTACTTCTCCCCTTCCTTTCTATAGAGCTACAATCACAATAGCAATGAGCCATGCTCTAAAAGTTACTTAATTTTTATCAGGCCCTCGTCCAAGATCAGATCCTAGCACGAAGTCATTTCTGTTCTTATTGACTCACAAGATAACCTAAATTAGATTGACTAAATCATAGGGAAAATTATGTCATTTTCTAATGGGTGTCGATTGAGTTGCGCTCTGAAGAGAAGCAGTAAAAATCAACCATGCAGTCAGACAGCTTAGCATAACTCGATTGATCCGTTTGTATGACATCATATAGATAAGCAAACGGCAATTTGTTCATCAGGAAATCAATTAATCAACAAACAATATTATCAAAACCTTAATTGCAATTAAACCAAAAGAAAAATCATAAGAAAATCTGACAAAAATGCTCCACTTTCCAATCACCCATCATCAAAAAAAGTAATCTTTCTATAAGTCCTCGGCCAATATCAACCTACAGAAGAAAACCCATTTCCAAATTCCAGCTGAATTACAAAATCAACACCATAATCAGCAACAGGCGATCAAAAATCCCACCTTTTCCACCAAAACTTGACCATTAACTGAATAAAAAAAATCCACGTTTCCCCCATGAAAACAAACAAGGAGCAGCACCCACGATCAAGAAAATCTAAGAGAAACCCAACTTACAAGAACTTGGTCCCGAGGGATTTGTGCAGGTCCTCAAGGGTGTCCATGAAAAGCCTTTCGCCTTCGACCACCTCCTCATAGCTTGCCTTCGGGTGTGTGCCAATTTCGGCTGAGCTATTATTGCTACCATTAGTAGTAGCTGTTCTTATAAGAGGAACGCAAGTTCCGCGCTTGTCTTCTGACATTTTCCTTCGACAAGAATGGTAAAGACGGTAGACGGGTAGGAGCGCGTTAAAAGCGGAAGGACAAATTTTCTAAGGGCCTGTTTGGATTTGTAGGGGTGAAGGGAAGTTAATAAGGGAAACTAATGGTGTGTTTGGGACTTTACTAGGGGCCTGTTTGGATTTGTAGGGAGTGAATGGAAGTTAAGGGAAAGTGAGGGAAGGGAAGGGAAGGGAAGGGAAGGGAAGAGAGTTCCCTTCCCCTTGGTTACACCCCAATTTGGGGTAACAATTTTTATATTATTAGGGGGTGAACCAAGGGGAACTAGGGTGAATTAACTTCACCTCCTAAGTGTTCCCAAACAAGATGAATGGAGGTGAATGGTTCCCCTAACTTCCCTTCACCCTCATTCCCCTCAATCCAAACAAGCCATAAGGGAATGGAAGGAAAGGTAAACAATGGGAAGGGAAGGGAAGGGAAGGGAAGGGAAGGGAAGAGAATGGAAGAGAATTGTAATATGTTGTTTGGGAGTTGAGTAAGGTGAATGAAGGTGAAAGGAAGTAAATATATGTGAATTTACATAAATGACTTTATACTAATAACACACCAGGCCTTTTATTTGTTTTGATGGGGGTAAGAATGTCATTACACCCCTTTACCGTCCAAATCGGGGGGGGGGGGGGAGAAAACCAAGCAATTTTAACCTCCTTTCCCCTTCCTTCCTCCTCTCTACCCTCCTTAAAAAAACTCCCAAACAAGGTGAAAGTCTCATTTCTCTTCCCCTCCCCCTCTCTACCCTCCATCCAAACAGGGCATAAGAGAAGGGAAGGGAAGGGAGTTCCCTTCCCCTTGGTTATACCCCAATTTGGGGGGTAAGGGCATCTCCAACCCAGCCTCATTTTGGTGCAAACAGTGCTTTTTGTTGCACTGTTCCTTCTCCAATCCAGCCCCATTTTCTGCTCCATTTTGGTGCAAATGAACAGTGTTGCACCAAATATGGCGGCGCACTGTTCATCCGCCCCATTACTGTTCACTTTTTTAAAAATTTTTTAAATATTTGTTTTTACCTCTTAATTAATATAAAAATAGATAAAATGGATTAAATGAGAATATACTGAGAATATTCTTTTTTGGTGCAAAAAATGGTGTAATGGGTTGGAGATGTATTACTGTTTGATGTGACTTTTGCACCATTTTGATGCAAAATTTGCACCATTTTGGTGCAATGGGTTGGAGATGGTCTAACAAATTTTATACTATTAGGGGGTGAACCAAGGAGAACTAGGGTGAATTAATTTCACCTCCTAAGTGTTCCCAAACAAGGTGAATGGAAGTGAATGGTTCCACTAACTTCCCTTCACCCTCATTCCCCTCAATCCAAACAAGCCCTAAAGTTAAAGGGAAACTAGTTGAGAGAAGGAAAGCTAGAGAAGGGAAGGGAACGGAAGGGAGTTTCCTTCTTCCTCTTGGTTACACCCTAATTTGAGAGTAACAAATTTTATATTATTAAGGAGTGAACTAAGGGAACAAGGGTGAATAACTTCATCTCTTAAATGTTCCCAAATAAGGTGAATGGTTCCCCTAACTTTTCTTCTCCCTTATTCTCCTCAATCAAAACAAGTTATAACACTGTTTTCAGTCCAGGGGTTCTCCAATATTAGTACATCAAACAGGGGTGCTAAACCGTATCCGGATGCGAGAAAATATCTGTAACCGTATCCGTTATAATACGAATATGGTTATTTAAATCTATAACCGATAGGATATAGTTACAGATATGGTTTTGTAGTGAAATATCAGTATCTGTATCTGAAATATCCGAATACATATTAGTCATACTCTTACGATAGTTTCGATTCTTAGATTATGGATTTGTGGTTAAATTTGATGATCAAGATGTCTAATCTTAACTTTTTAGTTATATGCACATATTAACAAACTCTTTTGTATCACATGAACTATATTTTTCTCAATACTATCTAGTTTCCTTATATTTGTTTTGCATCCGCATGCATATACGCATGTATATCCGTAACCGTATCCGATTTTAGCAGATATGATTATAAAATTTTTTTACTGAGGTATATCTGTATCCGTATCCGAGATGGGGTAAGCGGATATGGATATGGTAAGCATCATATTCGAGCCGTATCAGGACCGAATGCACCCCTAACCTCAAACCATTGATATTATTTTGATATTAGTCCCCCGAATCTTCACATTGTGATATAGTGCCCTAAATCACTTTAAAATGTTGATATCAGTCCTTTCGTCGGCTTAAACTGTGATTGAGTTTAGGCCAATCGTGAATGGGTTATTATCTTATTAAACATCTCACTCTACGCTGCATTTTTCCTTCTTTGTCTCATTTGAAAGTTATAATTCCTTTCGTTCATTTCTAATCTCCAGCGATATCCTTCCCTCTTCAAACCGCCTCCTCTTTTTCTTCCTTCGTTCATGCAAATGCAATTCAAGTCAGAAAGAATTAAATCATCAATTTCTTCAAGCTCACTCCTCCATAGAATTCGAGTTGTCGATTTTTATGTTTTAACTATTGATTTTTTATGGGTTTATTAACAATATACTTTTGAAAGAAAGAAGATGAAATGGGTTGGTTTGGATTTTGAATGTGCGACTTGTGAATGAATGACGAGTGAGTTGGGGGATAGCGTCTCGTGATGTTTTTTGCAGGATGTGAACGTCAGCAGGAGACTTGAACGTGGGCCTCTCCATGTTGTGAAGGATCTCATCAATTAACGCTGAGAATTGAAAATCGCGTGAGGAGATTTGAGGCTTTCTTTTGTTTCCTGGACAAAGCCCACCCGTGTGCAAAAGTACAACAGCTATATAAGTACCCTTCCTAGGGTTTTGTGAAAGTTGTGCAAGCCGGCAGAGGGGAAATAAAATTTGCCAAAGTGCAGAGGGGAAATAAAATCCGCAATTGTCTTCATTGGTTGTCTTCATTGGCTTCGTGCAAAGGGAAATCACAGGAGAAGCAGCGGCTGTGCAAGGGTTTTTGTGCATCCCCTTTTGAGAGAGAGATTGTGTGAGGGATTTGAGGGATTGTTTGAGGGTTTAGGTTGTGAGATTGTAAACCCTAGTTGTATTCTCTCCCTCTAATAGGAGATCCCCCCTTGCCCCGTGGACGTAAACAATTTACTGAACCACGTAAAAATTGGTTGTCTCGCTATATGTGTGATTTGTAATAGCTTATTTAGGTTCCTTCGACAAGTCAGTCCTAGAACTGATGAGAGAAAGAGCTGATATCCCACTTTGTTGAGATATTTTACTTTTGATTCTTGTTTCCTTGGTGAAACAAAAATTCCTATTATGATCTTACTCTCTTATTGTGCTGCCGAAGTGCAGTCGAAATTTTTGTTGTGCACAACAAGTGGTATCAGAGCCCAGATTTCAGATCTAGGGTTTTAAAATTAGGAGGAGGAAGATTCTTGTGTGAAGCTTGTGTTAGACCCCAGAGGGGGGTGATTAGGGTCTTATTCTAATCTAATACGATTTTATACCAATTAAAACTAATTAACAAATTATTCTTACAAGAGAGATATACAATATGTTACAAGCAAGAAAGCAATATGAACAAAAGTAAATATCCTAGCAATAAGATATACTATGAGATATATGCAAGGATATATAATTAACACTAGGGTAAATAATGTAAACAAAGAGGTGGACAAACTAACTAATGAGACAATAGCGATATGAGTAATGAGCAAAAATATAAATGAACGCCAAAGAACACACAAACACAATCAAATGATCACGGAGTTCGGACCTTCCGTCCTACGTCTCCGCTCCCCACTCCCGGGGAGAAATCCACTAACACAAACGAGTTTTCTACGCTTACCCGAACAATGTTTACACCTCACACTCAGTTTTCTAGCTAACCGAAAACTTTACAATCACCACTCTTGCAATCTCACTCTACACCCTCTCAAGTGTTGGAACTAGACGTATCTCCCTAAAGTGCTCAGATACAACCTCTCCCTAGGTTCGTCAACCGATGCCACTCATCTTGGGACGATCCCCGACTCACACCACACACTTCTCTCGGTGTACAAGTGTATTACAAAGTGTATCCTCACAATTAGGCTCAATACAATAAATGTTTGTTCTCTACTATGGATGAGAACACAATGAAAGCTCACACTCAATTGTTACAACTCTCACCAACCCAAATATACTATGTATAAAAATATAATAAGCTCAAGTGGGTGTGTGTAGACAATGAGTGAAATAAAATCTAACTCAAATAGCAAACTAGTAATAATAAGAATATAAAAATCAATAATAAAATTGCTAGAGAAAAGAGTTAGAAAACTTCTCTATAAACTAAAAGGAGAGGATGAATAAGATTGAGAATGAATCCCTCAATTTACAATGTAAGCTTCCTCCTTTGTAAACAAAAACCAAACTTAAAATAAACTATAAAACCTTCTTAAACTTGTTTAAAACTTTCTCCAATTCTTATTGGTAGAAGAGGGGTTGAGGGGTTTTTATAGGAAGAGAAACCAACAACCAAAACCCCAAACAAAACAACAAAAATCCCAAAAAATCAGGAATACGATTCTATACCTAATATAGTCATTGGGCTATCGGCGGTCGACCGTGAAATTCTCGCCGTCGACCGCGAGGTACTTTTGAACCCGAGAAAACTTCTAGAGAGTTCGACGGTCGACCGTGGCGGTCGACCGTGGGAATTTACAGCTTGACGGTCGACCCTGGCGGTCGACCGCGAAAGTTTCTGCTGCCTCCTGAGGGAAAAACAATGGCGCGGTCGACCGTGGCGGTTGACCGTAAACTGACATATGAGAAAACAAGTTTGAAAGTTAATTTTTTGATTTTAAAACCCTGTTTAAAAATATCAAATAAAAAATTATGAAACTTTGGAAAATGATTGTAGACATGATAATACACATGCTACAAAATTTGGTTTTCAAAAAGGACCGCCCAAATGAAAAATATCATCATTTTACAAAATAGTCCAAAACATAAAAATGTGAACATATGAGTTTTGACATTTTAGCTTAACCATGTTTTGAAACAATACAAAATGATTTTGTAGACTTAATAAAAGATGTATATAATTATTATTAAGTTTA